TTTATAGCTTGGCTGCATTTACTTTGCAGTGGTTCTAAATTAAAATTTAAATGAAAGCATTCCCCTTGTAAGGTCCCTGCCCATCTGGTGTTTCAAGTGAAGGAAATCAGTCCAGTGAAATGAATCACCGCTGCAATGGAACAAAGCTGTCAGAGGAACGAATGGCAGCATCAAACATTGTGTAAATTACTGCTAAAAGCAGACACTGTTTTATACGCTCTCTATTCCATCACCTTGACATGTGTCCAGCCTAAGGAGCGGTATTCATTGTTTGATTTGATAACACTGTCTAAGCACAAAGAGAATGACAGTTAATTAGTTCCCTGCTGCTCAATAAATGTTCCTAAAAACAGTTTTGTTTTGTTTTTTTGCATTATTTTTCTTTTTCTTATTGCAAAAAGGGCTCTGGAACAGCTGTTGTGTGATTAGCTGTCACGTTCTGGGCGATTAACTAGTCTGAAATGATGAACATCCTAGCATTTCAGATGCGGTGCGAAGTAATCGTACGACAGAGGCCATCTATTTCCTGCCCACACAGGAGTAAATCAGACATCAGGTAGCAGAGAATGGGGAGAACAAGCAACTAAATAAACATAAGTAGATTTAAAAATTTAAAATAACAGCAAAAGTCAAACAGTAACTTGCAACCATGGAATGTGGAGGAAATATCTCTTAAAAGTACTCCTGGCTTTTTCATTTCACAGATACAAAAGATAGTGGTGTCATTCATGAATGACTTAGAGTTTAACTGCTGGAATTAGGCCCAAGGGTACAAGAAATGAGGACCATCAAGGACCATTTCAATTGAAAGAGTTGCAGGAAATGTAATTGGATTTATTTTATTTTCCAGCATTGGGATCTAGATTTTTTGCAGCAGCAGCTTTTTCTGATCCGGGTTTCAGGTTAAGTATGATTGGGGAGACATTGAGCCTGGGTCTATGTATTTAGCGTTTCCAAAGGTTTTTCCAAATTCTTAAATCTAGCTTTAATTTCAAAGCTGTTTTGGGATAAGTTTCTTTCAAGAACTACAGAAAAATGACTTCAAAGTTAAAAAGACTGTGAATCAATTTGCCAAATTCGGCACATTGTAAAATGTGTGAATAGAGTAAATGTACACCCAGGCAGAATTTAATCTGATAGGATAGACTAGCTGCTGTTGGCGTACCAAATGCAAAATACCGAACATGGCAAAGATTCATCAATGGAAAAGGGACTGAGCAGATGTCAATAACATTTATTTTTAAAATACCATAACATTTCAGAAATTCTTCATTGCTGGAGCACAAATTCTTGTTTTATGTTGTTATGAGCCTGGCTGATTTTACTTTTTAGCATTTTTTTTTGTACAGAATATCAGGGAAAATATTCCATCTGGCTCTAAGATTACTCCATTTTCTTAGCATTTCAAAGCGTGTAGAATTTAACAAATTCTTGAATTCAAACTGTCTCTCTCTTACCCTTGCCCATGAGATTTCCAATGTATTATATGTTTTGCCCACAAAGTGTACAGTCAATTCACTTTACAGTGCATCTTGTGAAGCGCTTTGAGACGCCTCGAAGACGTGATATGGTGCTATATCAAATGCAAGATTTATTATTATTATTCATTGGTGGTTGGTGCTCCTTTAAACAACAGCATTTGAATTTATTTTCTATGCTGTTTGATATGCAATTGTTTCTGCCTGGAGTTCAGCCTTGGCTTAGCATTATCTTTTTCTCCTGTAGGACTTCAGTCATTTTCTACTCCACCTCCTTGTTTCACATGCAAAGGAATTAGCTTGAAGAGTTGCACAAGCAGGGCAGAATGTGGGCAGCTCCAGACACATTATCAAGACTCCTGATTTATGTTTATTAGAAGCAGGAATGAAATCGAGAAGTGACCATTACCAGAATCCAGAAGTGCTGTGATTTGACTGAATATACATTTAAAAGGTAGTGCGCTGTCATTTCAATTCTAAAACCTGGGTTCACATCTAGCCTAGACTATTGAGGTGGAAGTCTCCCCTCCTCTGACATCTTTAAGGTTGCTGAGTATCGTCAGTCTTAAACCGATTCAAAATGCCCTACAACAGCACTAATTGGCAATCTCGTTCACTTGCCACAGGGAAATAGGAATCAGAGACACTTGTATCAGATGGGTTAAGAATGTATTGCTGCTGTAAAGCAGGCAGTGATTTTCTTTAATATCATCTGGCCAGGAAGTGCTGGATGATGATTTTAATAATAATAATCTTTGCATTTGATAATAGTGCCTTATTAAGGGTCTTCGAGACGTTTCAAAGCGCTTCACAGAATATTCTGTAAAGTAAATTGACTATATTTTGTGGGTACCATGACAGAGAAATTAGTCCAGCACTGATGTCCTTTACCTTGATGAGTGCAATATTCATTAAAAATGTTTTTTTTTTAAAAGTCTCTAATGGTTGTTTAAATAGACGTTTCCTAATGGTGAAGCACGCTTCATTGGCTAACTTTAAATCACTTTACGTCACAAATATATCTGTGAAGTTGTCAGTTGGAATAATGACCAGACTTTCACAAAAATTGATTCTTTCATCTGTCTTCCTTAACTGGCTTATGGACCCTGTGTGTAAGAAAACAGTTCCTACTCAGCAATACTACTGAACTCAAAGTGTTGGCACAGAAGTCAAATCCTTGCTGATGTGCAGTATCATCAATCAGCTCTTTACAGAAAAAGGGACAAGCCACATTATTAATGCCATTTCATGATGGCAATATGCATTTGTTAGCTTGTTAAACTTTCAGATTCTGTATGTCACTCAAGCTACCCAAATCTATTCTTGTTTACGTTCTACTCTTAGGTTGAAAGTCTGTGCTTACCTGATTTGTGGAGTCCTGTAGCTCAGTGGTTAGAGCACTTGCTTTGCAATCGAGAGACCTGAGTTCAATTCCAGGCAGGGCGAAACCTTGGGCAAGTTTCCTCACTGCACACGCCTCCAAAAACAAACAAAAAAAAATTGGTCATTTTCAATCTACGACCGTTTGTGGGACACTGCTGTGTGCAATTGGCTGCTGGGTTCGCTCACAAATGTACAGTCAATTCACTTTACAGTATATTCTGTGAAGCACTTTTCACACAGAAGATGTGAAAAGCGCTATATCAAATGCAAGGATTATTATTATCCTGTACACCCAGTTTGCAAGCAATAGCTGGTGCGTTTGTGACTAATTCATGTACTTGATTATTCATGTACTTTTATATATTTTAGAACTGCCTGTAACGAAACCTGAGGGAGAGTTTTGACTGCTTGACCCCAAAATCTAGAATGCTACTAAAATGTCAGAACTTCTTTGAAATTAATTTATGTAGATTTTTCATTTAAAAACAAGTCTCTGCTCTTTCCCTCCTCGCCATAATAAAAAGCATTGGGCTGGGATAACTGGCCCTGGCTTTGCAAAACTCTAGTTTTTAATCTATGTTTTGGGGTGTTCTGTTGAGGTGGTGGTGGAAGCGAAAGATTGTGCTTGAAAAGTCTTCTGTGAGTAAATCCTCAATAATGTTTTATGCATAACCAATTAATATTGGACAGATTATTGAAAAGTTTAATTAAGATTATATCTTAAGTAGAAATAAACTGTGTGCATGCAAAGTAACTGATTTCTAAAGTGTACACTCTGGTAAACTATTAAGGGTTAATAGTAGCAGTTGCCCATTAATATAAGGATTTGCAGACTTTTCTGAATGGGTTTATTTTATTGAGATTGAAAATAGTAATGTCATCCAGTGGGACAATTCAGATCAAATCATGTGAAAGCTCCAACTGTCCCTTGATTTATTTTCTCCAATGAGCGTCAAATGTTCTGAGACTTCTGTCCAAGATTAGTTTGACTTTGGGATGATTTGATGATTTGTCCATTGCAAGCACAGTGCTGGATACTGCAGTAGCTGAGGAGGCTAAGTATAAATTGTGATTTTGAGGTTTCAAAAAATTGGGGAATCCAAATTTGGATTTCCTCATTGACTGACTGGTGATCTTGGCTGCGACTGAGCTTGTGATGACCAACAGTGACTGTGGTGTGTGTGGTGGGAGGGTGGGGATGCTGTTCATTATCATCTTTTACGTTGAGCAATTGGCAGATGCAGATAGCCTGGAGTGTCCAAGGTGACTGTGCAGGAAGGTGATACCTTGCAGAGATGATGCTTGATGGCATGCTGCACCAGTGGATATTAAATTTATGCCAACAGCTAATTAATTGGTCTACTCAGATGCTGTGTTCCAGTACAGCTAAACTCATAAAGTGCAATGAGATTAAAAAAAAATTGATCTCTCCATTCATGTAATAGGTTATGCTTCTTTATCTGCTGCAAGAAGAAGAATTCGTACTGTTCAGACAAGTCAGCCAAGGTTGTCGATGTCTATCCCACAGGAGCTGACAAGGGCAAACTTTGCTTAAAATTTGAAACCTTTGAATTTGAGCAGTTTTGTTTTGCATAATTTAGTTCAGCACCAATTTAATAATCCAATGCATTTGCTCTGGGTATTTTTTTATATAAACTTGATTTAATTCTTTATCCATCTAAAATTAATTAATCTAATTGGTGAATTATCCAGCCCTGTCTGAAAACTGATATGATTTCATCCAATATGATGGTCTAAACTCCACATTAGAATGTTTCCTGCTCCTAGACAGATTGGGATCTTCACAACACACTGGCACTAGTTTTGCTACATCTCTCCAGGTTGGCAAGCTTGCTTGCTGCTGTTCTCTTATCTGACTTTGGTCCTTGAATTGTACGGAGAATAATTAATTTATTATCTGCCATTATATTGTTTGACAGCCACATTTGTGTCTGGACCAAGCTGCTGAACATGTTCAGAAAAATAAATGAAAGGGGAGGAAAGCTCAACTCCTCTCGCAATTCAAATAAATGACAAATCTCTCTGCAGGATAGAAAATGCCCAGGTTTATCTTTTAGAATGTGTTAATTTCATTAAAGAGGACACTCATTTCTTTTTTGCAATCCTCTTCTCTCCCAGGTAACAGTATCTTGCATTCAGCTGCAGACAGTGTTACTAGTGCAGTCCAGAAAGCCAGCCAAGCCTTGAATGAGCGCGGTGAAAGGTTAGGACGGGCAGAAGAAAGAAGTGCAGAGATGATGAACAGTTCCCAGCAATTTGCGGAGACTGCACACAAGGTGAGTGACTCGAAGATTCTTTCCAGGAATGTCTTATTACTCGACTTATGTCCCCCTTCCTTGAATAAAAGAAATGTCCTGTCGAGATTTAGCAACTGTTTTTTAATCAGTGAGTGGGTCGTCACTCTGCTTTTGCCGCCTATTCTTTCTTTACTCCATTTAAAGAAGGATTTATTGTTTTCATTTGTTACAGAGTATCCTGAGTGGCAGGATTCACCTAAAGTTTAGCTCTGTAACTTGTACAAAATATTGATTGACGAAAATACAACAAAAGGAGACTTGAGCAGGTGTCAAGTGTTCAGTGCACTTTTGTGTTGATATCAGTGAGCCCTCCAATCTCCTAGCCATCCCTTTAGCAGTAGGAATGGAGTCCAGAAATTGGGAGTATGCTACGTCGAGCAGGAGAGTTCTGGGCTGCATCTGACCATTGCTGTACCTGCTCTTTGAGTGCTTGGTGCTATAATTGAATGTAAAGAGAAAACTATCCCATTTCCCTTCCATTGACACTTCTATTTTGTGGAATATGTGTTGTAGGTAGAAAAAAAAGTCACTGTAGATAACAAGCATCATATCTGGACTAAACTAATGATAACATTTGGTACTATAGAGACAGGGGTCTATCATACATCAGTTATTAGAGATAATGAAAAGGTTAGTGCATGATTGACCACAGTATTGAAATAGGCTTTAAAACTGAGTCCAGCCTTGATCCTTTTTTTTCCCCATTCAGATTCTATGAATGTCTAGTCCTTTGACTTGTTTTTCTATCACCTACAAGGCCATTCACGGCCTTGCTCCCTCCTACCTCTCCAACCTACTATCCCCCTACCTACCTGCCCGTACCCTCCGTTCCTCTGGCTCTGGTCTGCTCCATGTCCCCCGCCCCAACCGCCCTACCATCGGTGGTCGGGCCTTCAGCCTCTCAGCCCCCAGGCTCTGGAACTCCAGCCCCCAGTGCCTTCGCCTTGCTTCATGTAATCTTTGACTTGATCTTTACTTGATTGTCACTTCTGATCAAAGACCTGAAGCCAAGTGAGATTTAATGAGTTAGTTCATTTGAGCGAGTATCTTTCTGGTTTCAATCGGGAGATTTGTGAGAGTCAACCCCACTCAATGGAATTTGGTAACTAAATCCTGGGGATAACCTTCTGTGTCCGCATTGCTTGAGTTTTGTAAACCCTTGGTAACTAATTCCCCTATTTGGCCCTAGTTCATCTCAGTGTCGAGGTTTTGTGCAACTGTGTGGGTGTCTTGGTGTGGAAAGGATCTGTTTGGATTACATTATTAATGGAGATTGATGCTGCCTGCAATTTTGTAATGAGTAGTAATTTAATGACTCCCTGGATGAATAGTCGTGAACTGCAGCTGTCTAATTGCTACTGGTGCTGAAACACAGGCCTCCAGGGGTTCCATTCCTTTGGAATTGCAGGACTGAAGTAAATCGCAGAGTCGAGTTTTCGTCTCATCGCTCGAACTAGTGCAGCCAATTTATTGTTGATAAGTTCTCATTTGTTATCAATGGAGAGGCCCATTCGTGTGACTTTCTAATCTCTTTTCAGCATATCCCCTAATTGCACAAATACAGAAAAACTATTTCACGCACCGTCTAGAGCATTGCGTCAGAGATAAACCATGCTTGCGGCAAAAGTAAAGGTTTTTGCTGCTCCTCTATTTGCTTTGCTTCTATGCTAGGTTTCTGCTCAACAACAACCATTTTTACACGTTGCCTTTACTACACTCCAGCTGAAACCAGTTCACTCGTAGGAAGGGATGTGAAATATTTATTTCTTGCATGAAATCATGAATTGTTAGTGAATATCAGAGTAAGAAATGCTACTTGCATTGCAGACCACAGTCAGGACAACTGCCTGAGCTAATCTAGTTTTGTGATGCATACTCACTGCTCGGAGTTTGTTTCCCGGCTACATTGTATAGGAAAGGAATCACAGATTAAGACCTGTGATCAAGAGTGCATTCTTCTGCTCCATTTTTACACGTTGCCTTTACTACACTCCAGCTGCACATCTGCAGTGCCTCTTGAGGGCATTTCCTTTGGGAAATAACTGTGTCCTGTGCAGTCTATGCATTAATACAGTCCAAACGTAACTCATTGGAACACTACAGGCATCAATAGAAAAAAAAGGTTTCAGCATTGATTTCTTGTCTCTTGACGTCACAACCATACTTGAAATTTTATGCATGTGACAAAAAAAATCAATTCTCAAAGTATTCCTGTTGATGCTGCAGTCTAATAATGTGAATGTCTTTTCTACTTTTGCAACTTAAGCTTCGCCCAGTGTTCAGCCCTTCTCCGTCACTAATAATAATAATCCTTGAATTTAACATAGCCACACAATCACTGTTCTTCAGCTTGTAGAAGATGCAAACTGGTTATCCCTTCTTCAAAAAACAATATTGTGGATTGGAATCCATTCGCAGATGGTTTTTTTTAAGTAACCAGTGAGAATTTGAAATAGAAAATCATAAATTCATTTTCTTGCAGGTTGTATCTTGAACAAACTCAAATCACCTTACCTAGACTAAATATATTACTGGATTTTGATCGAGTCTTCATAGCTCAGTCAGAAATTCTCTGGTGCATGGTTATTAGCAGGTGAAGTAATACAGTTAACATTTCCAATGTTATCCTAGTCTTTGATTGTGATTGGGTTACAGAGGGTGAAGCTTGCAATACTAAACACGGTGGAATGCACAGAAAGATGCATCATTTTTATTTCAGTATATTTTACCCAGAGTGTATGAAAGTGCACTCCATCAAAAGCACTTTGACAAGTAATTCAGGTTAGCAGATAACAAAAAGAAAGAATGAAAAAAAACTAAGTTAATATAAATTCTATTCCCTCCATAGGGATAACAACAGAATGAAACCCAAAAGCTGTATAAGTTTATCTGATTGATGAAGAACCAGTATGTAGCACTCTCACTGAAGATAAAACACCACCATTATAGAACCATTCTGGCCCAGGGAGACATCCATCCTGAGGCATTGATCCTCTTGAGCCCAACAAGCCGCGAATTGGAAACTTTAGCAGACTGAATATCCCATAATAAAGTAATAGAGCAAATAGGATTGAAACAGAAGGGAGCCATATTACCTAAGTTAGCAGTTTGCTACGAGTTGCTTCTAAATTATGAATGGGCCTTTGCCCCCTTTGGTTGTACCATGAAATGTTACTTCCAGTATTGCCTTGCTCTATGCATGCCATCTCTTTAGTGAATGTTATTAATGTAATGAGCCGGGCCAGGATCCCAGCATTACTACCTCGGATCCTACTTTTTTCCTTAGTCTCTGGCTTTTTTTAAAAAGCATATTCTGGGTTTGTTTTGGTTGATTGTTTTGGGAGCCCATGTGGTACAGAGAGTGATCTATGTAGATCTTTTCTCAAAGAGATAGACTGGATGGGGTGAGGTCCAGGAGAGGCTCGATTTTTTTTATGGTCTGCAGGAGATGCAGTCTTGTTGGGCCAAATGGCTGCATTTGTGTTTTAATGTTGTCCTCTCATTTGGTTCCACACTGAGCTCAGAGCTGCACTCTACTAATTACACTTGTGGCAAGATGCCTCTGCAGTGTTCACTTGTGTACAGAGCCCAGTTTATGTTGGGACACCAATCGTCATGAGCTCAGAAGTTGCTGGCTGCATTGCCATGGCTGGCAGAAGACCAACACTGACTTCACACAACCCAGAATGACACGAAGGCAATGGTGTACAAGTTGACAGAATCCTGGAAGGGGATTTTACTGCTAGATTTATCTGCTGCTTTCTTCGTTCTAGGCATGTAAAAGAAGCTATAGTTGCAAATTGGGGAGCAATCTATTTTGCCTCATTAGCTGTCAATCTTGGATGCCTAGCGATGTCGTAGGAGGCATTGAACATTCACATGTACATTCGTGCCCCCTTGCTTTTATTAAGCTTATTTAAAATATGTTTAGCATGCATGTTAAACTGGTGTTTAATTCACTACCATGTGTGCAGCGCCTGGAGGCTGCAATGGAGAATAATAAGCAGACTCAATGCTGTTATAATATTCTCAGTAAATTATTTTCGGGCTATCCACGAATGGCACCGTGATCATGAACATTCTGACTGCAGAAGTGTTCAATTGCTGTTACGAAAGGGCTGTTGATGCATGACGTGTGAGGTTAAAGTCCAAAGGCAAGTTGTCACTTTTGCTGCCAGTCACTTCTGAGTTGTGTAGGTGGCACTGCAGACTATGTCTTTCTATGCTGTCCCTCTATAACAGAATAAAACGCATTACCTGTAACTTGACCCTTATAACCTGCCCTTTGTGTGGCACCCAAAGATGGAGTTACACTGTAGTTACAAATCTGTACTTTTAGTGTTTATTTTTTTAAAAAAGGCTTGTATTAATACAATACACATTTGATGCTTTATAAGTCACTCAAACCTATTGCAACATCAGATACAGCTTGGGCCATTTACATGCTCCAGTGAAGTATCTTACCCCCAAGTTTACAAGGTTGTGGGTTCAAGCGCCACTTCAGAACTCTGAATTGATAGTCTGGGGCAGGGATGTACCACTTGTAACCCACGGGCCATGACTATTTTACTCATGCGTAATGCACTCCACAAGTTGGCATCCCTGCAGTGCTGCGGAGAGTTGTCGTCATTCAAATTAAATGTTAAGTCCATGTTAAAGATCTAAACCATGGCATTATTTGAAGCAGAGAAAGGAGGCTTTCTGTGTGGCAACAATCCTCCAGATAAAATTAGTCATTGATTGTGGGACATTGCTGTGTGCAATGCAAATTGGCTGTCACATTTACCTATAAATATACAGCAATTACACTTTAAGTAGATCTGCTTTGAGACATTGTTGTGAAACAGCCCTGTGTCAAATATAAAGAGTTAATTGCAGAACTGTGGCTAATGTTCTTGCATCAGACACCTCTATGGATTCATACAGATTGATGTTTTTAAATATTCTTGATAAACTGGGGCATATTGCTGGTATTAATTATACAGAAAAAGCTGTGTTCTTTCATTTTTACTTGAAGACTACTTTTTACACAAGGACTATAAATGCCTCACCATAGTTCCACAACTGCAAGAGACTTGTTAACTCTCATGGTTAGCTATAGAAGCCTAAAAAGTGCAGAATTTCTCTTTGGAAAATATAGGTCAAGCTTGGATTTTTATTTGAAACCAAGGAAAGTTTAAGTGGTACTGCTAAATTGTCCCAGTATGTCAGCAAGCCACATATTTAACAGTATGGTTTTGGAAGACTACTGTATACTTTGCATGAATTGTACTTGCAGTGGTCACAGTGGATGATTTTGTTTACTAGAACCTTTGGGTTAGATTCTAATCATGAAAATTACAATAAGTCATATTTCCACAAACTCCCGAAGCAGATTCAGCCTTTAACGCTTAACATGAGCGCGGTGTAGAGAAAGCCTTTGGCACTCTCATATTGTACAAGTGACAGATAGTTCTTGGAATATGGACTAAATTTAAGGTGCACCTGAGATGCTGACACAAACTTCTCCTACATCACTAGCTCTGCTTGTCTGCTTTTGGATGTGAACTGCTCTATCACAACAGGCATATCTACCTTTCTTTGCTTATAGCCTGAATATCAGGGGAAGTTGGTACTAAAATGTACATAAGCAATGAAGCAGCAGATAGAAGTAATTTAGCAGCTTTACTCAGGGCATTGAAGATCAGGTTTTGTATTCATGTTAAGTACATAGCAGTTAATTTAATTTGAAAGGGGAAAAAGGAGTCTTGTATGTAATTAACAAAGAGTGCATTCTGATGCCATGTGCACTGCACACGGGGACATTTTTCATTTTTGGCACGAGTGGCATTTTAATGAATGAAGTACTTTGTGCATCAGGCTGTTTCTATGAAATGGGTCTTGGGATGAAATGTCTTGAGACTTGGATGCTTTACTCCACGTGATTAGGAAAGTGGGGCCATATTTATTCTTCAGATGAAGCGCAGACATAAGCTGCAGATATTGAATAATTGAATTTTTGGCAAACTGTTTCATCGGCAGACAGGAGCCTTTGAATTTTAAAAATATTCATGCTGTGACTGCTCTGTCCTGAGACTTGACAAATAAGTCACAATGTCAGGGACTAAAGGAGGCTTTAAGAAGAAAATCAGACAAAATATCACAAATCTGACATAACACTGACACCACGCATGACATTTTGTGTGCAGCGGGGGAAGCAAATTTTGCTGGGATTGTTTTTCTTTCCTGTCCTTTTTCAAGAAAACTTTCATAAGCAAGTGCAATACTATCTGAATTTCCATCCTCACTTTGCTTTGAGTCTGCAACTCCGAAATAGATGGTGGCATCGCCTTGAGTTACGAGGTGATTTAATTCTGTTTGACAGGTACTTACTATGAATCTTTTTTCTTGCACCAGAAATGCATTTGTATTCCCATGAAATTAAATTATGCTAATTGCACATTGCCCTTGAAAATTCTCAAACCGAGACCCACACAAGTTAGCTTTGCTGCTGTGAAATAATTAGCATCAAAGTGTTGCGAAAATGGAGGTGGGCAGAGTTCCACAGGAGAAATCTAGATGAAAATTGTGGAACACTACTACCGTAAGCTTGAATTAATAAAGTAAAAGTTCTTAATTGATATTTAAAAGGAGTAGACTTTAATGAAAAGAGTTGTACCTAAGGACACAGCTGCTTTTATTTCATTACAGGCAAGTCATTTTCAAATCTTGCTCGTGTTACAATTGTGCACGTGCTTGTGTCACTTTTTGAGACGTTGAAAGTTCCTGTCAAGTGAGCTTGCCAGGTAAAATGTTTTGTCCAACGACAAGTTGCATTTATGTATCACCCCTCACATAGAATGTTTCGAAGCACTTTACAATGGGGAGGGGGGGAGGGAAGCTGACTATGGACATGATTAAAGAGGTAGATTTTAAAGCGAGACTTGAAGATTGACAGGCTCAAAGAGAGATAGAAAGGTTTATGGTCACACACCTATTAATAAATGGCAGCAAGCAGTGGTTTCACCATGCATTTTTAAACTCAATCTGAATGGAGCTCATTATTGCTTGGAATTCGCCTTGCAGTATTTCTGGAGAATGGAACCCAGAGGAATGGTAAAGGCCAGTCCAGATTTATAGCTGAGAGTTGAAATGGGAATCATTTTTCTGTTTTAAACTGACGGTCTTTCGTATTGACAAATATTTGTTCTGCGTTTTCCAAACAATGCAACGAGATAGACCTTTTGGAAATGCTTCATTGCATCTAGGAAACAGCATTACAATGGAAGCTGTAATGAGACAAGGCTGACTCTTACAAAGGAGGTTACTTTCGCATCTTTCACTGGAGCAAAGTGGTCATTACATCTTGCCTACACATAGCCGCAGTTTAATTTGCACAGCCCAGTAGTGATTTAGTGTTCTGTCGTGCTGGGGAGACCACCTGCAGGACTAGATCCTGGCTTTACACTTAACTGCAAAGAGTGCAATGCCAAATTTGGAAAGATTACATTTAGAAGTTAGAGAGCTGTTTTTTGATGATGAGAATTTTTCAAATGTCAGCAGCAGTTGGAGGCAAATGAGCAGAACTGTGCAGTACACGTATGTACTGTACTTCAATTCACGTGTGGAGTTCTACTTTGCCTGATGTGAAAGAGAGAGCGAGAGTGCTCTTCCAAACAATTCAGGTATTAGAAGCAGGAGCAGGTCTGCACCATTAAACCTTTTCACCCACAAAATATAGTTAATTCATTTCACATTATATTCTGTGAAGCGCTTTGAGACATCTCGAAGACATGATAAGGCACTATATCAAATGCAAGGATTATATTATCACTCCCTTTACGACAAAAGCGAATATTTGCTGCTGGCATACATTGTTTTCAAAAGTGACAACTGATGACAATTCTAGCTGCTAGACCTTCATTGCTGAGAGCTGCTCATTTGCTGTCAGCGAAGCTCGGTTACAATTAGCTGCGATTGTAATTTTGTTTCTTTGACCAGTGTTCCACAGATCGTGTGAATCATGTGTTAATCTAGGCTTTCAGTTTACCACATTGTTATTTCAGCCCTGCCAGATTTTTTTTCCCGTCAGTAGTGCTGCTGGTGCATCAGTGTCCATTTCAAACTCTTTCTGCAGCTATATCATCTTTTTGTGGAGCTATTTCTTCCCAATTAGCAGATAGGTGCCTTGTATTGGTTTTAGCTGGTTTACTTTCAGCAATGTGCACTGGGGAGAGAGGGTCCCCGAAATAATTTGTTGGCTTCCAGCTGCCCAGTATTGAGTATTCTTCAGGAATAGGGAGGAGAGGGATTACCAGTTCAGTCCAGAACTGGCTAACCTGAAATTCTGCTGCTGGGATTGTTCAGTAGCAGGAACTGGAATATTAAGGTTGCAAATTGGCCTTTTTTCCCTATGTGTTACAGATTCCTGCTGATCAAAATAACAGAATGCTTTCTGTTTCAGTTATTGATTTAAGCTTGTTATACTCCAACAGTACCTCTTGCCAACCTGCACCCTCCAGGGAGAGAGTGCACATTCCATTCCAACAATCTGTCCCTGGGAGCTCCACGTGTAAGTGGGATGCATGGAAATCTCGGCTTGGTTTAGATACTCTTTAAGCATGCTGATGGGTTTCTGCATCTATCAGACACCCAGCTGACCAAAAAAGATTGATAAATTGAAATGTCTGGTTCAGCTAATATGAAGAAAGGTATTCTTGTGCTCCAAGTAGAGCTGAAGTCCTTGCACCATTTTCATTTTAATATAATGTCCTAGCTGCAATGGCCTGTTTCAAAAAGGTTTGCCTCGTTGCAGTCACGTGCTTGTTTAGGAAGCTAATGCTGACCTGAGATCACTTCAGTGAAGGTCCTTTGGTCCATCTGACCTCATCCCTCCAGAATACCCACCCTGCCATCCTCTCATCACAGCAACAAGATCACAATCAGAGTTTGCCCTTGAAAGTATCTTAACATGTTGATGTTTCATCCAACCCTAACAATTACCAATCAATCTATTCCCCCCTCCTACAAGTGCATAATTTAATCCTGTATATGGCAGCTGAAAAAGAAACCCTCCAGGCTTCAATATAACTTGTCACATCATTGGAATTTACATTGGGAAGCTGATAAGAATCTCTGAACATGCAAAGTTCAACTTGTTAAATGGTATCATTCATTCCGAGTCAATCAACTTCATAACTCACTTTGATTTGCATTGATTTGTGTTTTTAAACTTGAGGTATGAAAGGAAAAGTGGGCTTGAAGGGAGCTGTAGTTAATATTCTGTTCAGCAGATGTAGTTAATTAGAAAGTAATGAGTATAATTTAGTGCTGTGAAATAGTAATTGAGGTTCCATCATTGCTGACTAACCATGTATTGCTGCTAATGAGTTATGATAATACTACAATCTCTTATTTTCTCTCCTTGTTTTTTCACAGCTTGCAATGAAGCACAAATGCTGAGCAGTTGCCAAACATTTGGGAGTAATGATCAGGACAGACAGACTTCACATGACAGAAGAGACAGAAGTTTCCCAATGTACATTTCCCAAGACGGAAATTTATTCTTCAAACTTGATGCTGCCAATATTAGAATCTGTTTCAATGGGTATTTTTTTTAATTTGAATTTGCATTGTTTAAACAGGAAGAATACAGGCTTGATCTTTTTCAGTGTCTTTAGATTTCCAGGCTATTCGCGCTCTTGACTGGTTACAGCTGTAGTAAGCTTTCGTGTTACACAAACAGCTTTTAATCAATGTAGTGTTGTATTACACAGTAACAAAGGAAATGTTTCAACAATTGATGCTATTTTTGAAGAAAGTCTTCAATAATCCTTGGGAACAGTGTACTTTTGGCCGACGTTTCGAAGTGCAATGTGACGAACTGTGACCAAACATGTTGTGCTCATTATAATGGCACAACCTCTCATTTTAAAATCAACCAGTAATTGTCCTGGCTTCTGGCAAATGCACGCCAGGTCTGTCTGTATGACTGGAAATCAGCTGGGAAAATGCCTGACTGACTATACATGCAATGAAGGAAATTTAAGCTTTTGAAGCCTCCCATTGGAGATTAGCAGCAGCATATTTAAGTAGTGTACAGAAAAAAAATTCAGGTCCATGTTTCATATTGAAGAATGTATTTGTAAAATGTCAGGTTCAGGTAGTTTCTGAGGAGACTGTCTCACTTACTGATGTAGTTCTCTAATGCTGAACATTACTGAAGAATTGTGTAAAACGGCAGTTCTGCCGGTTCAAATCTCTTGTTAATCCTAATTGTTGTCGCAACAAAGTTTGTGCTGTAGAATTCTGTGCACTTTTCTTCAGTCTGTGGGTTAGTGCTCTGTTTATCTACTGTTTCAAGCCTTAATGTCATTAAAACATTTTGATTGTGTAACTAGCTTTTTTGTTATGTTATTTGAGCCATAGTACGACTGTGCAAGTGCTTATCGATACAAATATTGTATAATTGTATTCCATTTTGAACAGTGGGTAAAACTCCACCTCTGTTTTTATGTACTTTATGCAGCAATTCTGAATTTAGCAAATTATTGAATTCAGTCTTTGAGCTCAGCTTTCTGTAGTTAATTTACTGGGAATCCTGCTTCAGAATTAAGGTAGTAATTAAGAATTTGTCAAAATGACGTAGGGTCTGAAATGCTACACAGAGTACAAGAACCCCCCCCTTCCTCTTTATTTTAGTATTTCCTTTATGTTTTTAATTATATATCAAAGCCCTCCAAACTAGTCTAAGGATCCTTCCCCCCTCCCATATGGGAGCAATGTCCTGAATAGTTAAGTTTTCCTTTGCACTGTGATGTACATAAGTTGAAGTCACTGCAGATTCAGAGTGTAGCTATGGTCCTGAATGGAACTTTCTAAACATTTCATAATTTTTTTGGTGCTGAGAACTAACCAGATCAGAAAAAAAACGTACATGCAAGATATGCATTCCAGCTGATATTTTAACGATTTTACATTTATATAGCATCATTCATGCTAGGAGGATGTCAAAGGAGCACAAGTTTCTTCTTGAAAAGTACACGTGAGTGGGTGTCTGAAATATTTTGCTACTTGGAACATTTGATACATACAGCACAATCCAGTCACTCTCACCGCCCTCTAATAATCGCAATCAGACTAATTTGAAAGTTGTGCAGATTTATATGTGAAATACACAATAAATGAAGATGACAGGTAAGTTTTATCCTCTTTGGTTAATGACGTATATTTAAGAGCACAGGTGATTCCCTCATGCATTTATTTACTCACGACTTGCATAATTTACAAATTGGACCCCGAATATAAGCTTGAGCTGGAATTCATACATTTTGCCTTTGATGGATTGGATTTACATTTCCATTTTTTGCAATTAGATGGAATAAAATTGGACTGAAAAACCAGCTCTGAAGCCAGGTGGTAAGTTTACTGACATCATAAGCCATATTTGTGTTCAAATCCATTCACTCCCTGGGACCTCCCTACCTCTGCAACCTCCTGAATCTACCACCCAATGCCTCCGCTTGACTGGTACTGGTCTCCTACTTGTCCCTCGCACCCTCCACTCCATCATTGGAGGTCACACTTTCAGTCTCTATGCCCTGAAACTAACACTCCCTCAATTCCTCCGCCTTGCCCCTCTCCTCTTTTTCAAGTCCCACCTGAAAACCTTTTTGACCATGCTTACGGTCACCTGCCCCCCCCCCCCACCCCCCCGGCTCGGAGTCAGGCTCCCCACTGTTAAGCGTTCTGAGACGCTACCCTGCATGGAGGGCGTGCTATATAAGCGCAATTTGTTGTTCCTGAACTTTGCAAAACATTATGACAATTGCTATTTCAGAGCACAGTTGTTCGCAACCAACATCTGATTTATTTTTGGAGTTGTTATTTACTCAAGCAAAGAGCATAAGATCCCCTTTTATCCGCTTTGCAGAGCCTTTATTTAAGATGTACACCCTACTTTAATTCCTCTGTCAAAAAAAACACTTTGTTTTTGCCACAAAGCATGAGATCACAGATTTTCCTTCTCAAGCCAGATAATGCCCTCAATCTCCTGCCTGATCTAAGTGGAAAAGGGCATCAGATTTGTGTGCTATTGTACTGAGCATCACTTTGCTAATATTTAACACCTTCGATTAAGACCTTTACACAGTATCAAGAGTACTCAGCAACTCTGTACCAATCCTGTACGAAAAACAATAAAAAGCGTACTTTGTGAAACATTAATTTTGTTCCCCAGGATGATAATTGCAGTTTCCTGTTTGTACGGTTGCATTGTCTTTACAATTTGAACCTTTCAAGAGACATTTATTGCAAACCTCTGATATAAAATCAGGTTTTGTACAACTATTAGATACGCTTTATCGCAAGAGCTATGGGCTGACTTGTTAATTTATGAATAACAAAGCATTTTTCATGGGTTTTGAAACTGATCGTTTTCTGCTTTATTGAACCTTGTGGAAGAGACTTTCTTGATGGTTCAGCTTATTGAAAAAAGCTATTAGTTACTCTGATCTTTCAAAATGTGTGCATCCCATTTATGCAAATACAAGCTCTTTAACATGTGATCATGAAGCAGACCAGCAGTACAACTGGTACTCAATCTGAGTGTTCAATCATATTCAAATGCGGACCCCAAATCTGGGTCTCCGTAGAAATGAGGCTTACTCCGCCACTGTTAAGCGCTCTGAGACACTACCCTGCATGGAGGGTATTATATAAGTGCAAGTTGTTGTTCAATGGTGTCCATTTGTTAAAGGTAAAAACATCTGACGAGAATCAACAAATGGCAAAGTTCAATGTAACATCTGGTTTCTACAAGTTGTGTGTATAGATATAAACAATTTTCTAGTCAATTGCGAGCAAGTAAAATCATGAGATTGGGAATTATTTTTTTAAAATCATTTTATATTAGATAATCAGGATTGAGAAAATTTATAAATCTAAATCAAGGAAGTAATACAACAAGGAGCCAATACATTTACAACCATGAAATGTTCTATAAATGTAAACTCTTTAAGTTGCAATGTAGTTGCCTCGCATTGTTAAAAATGGTACAGGATTTACAAATAAATTGACGCAGTAAATCAAGGCAAACAGAGGAAGCCTATTCACATCTGCTTTTCTCCATTGGCTTTGAGGCCGGGGGGGCGGGGCCGCCGCCTGCCTCATTGTGTAGGTTTCCCGACGTCATTGGGCGGGGCGATGACGTCACTGTAGGCGTGGTGGCAGTGCAGCGCGACGGACCTGCGTGAGACCAGGCAGCCCAGAGACAGCCCTCAGTAAGCGCCGGCAGGGTGGTTAAGCGGACCTGGGAGGAACGACCCTCCCCCCCCCATTGCGGACCGGGTAGAAGCAACCGCTGGCTCCCTGCCGGCTGTTTACCTGACGTCACTGGGGGGGCGGAGCGGATCCGGCCGCGCATGCGCGATGTGCGCAAATGGGGAAATTAGTTTCGTTCCATTTGAGATTGTCTGTGTTTTGTGAGTTCGTTGTGTCTCTCTCTGAGAGTGTGTGTGTGTCTCTGAGAGTGTGTGTGTGTGTCTCTGAGAGTGTGTCTCTCTCTCTGAGAGTGTGTCTCTCTCTCTGAGAGTGTGTCTCTCTCTGAGAGTGTGTGTGTGTCTCTCTGAGAGTGTGTGTCTCTCTCTGAGAGTGTGTGTGTGTGTCTCTCTGAGAGTGTGTGTCTCTCTCTGAGAGTGTGTGTCTCTCTCTGAGAGTGTGTGTCTCTCTCTGAGAGTGTGTGTCTCTCTCTGAGAGTGTGTGTCTCTCTCTGAGAGTGTGTGTGTGTGTGTCTCTGAGAGTGTGTGTGTGGTGTGTGTCTCTGAGAGTGTGTGTGTGTGTCTCTCTGAGAGTGTGTGTGTGTCTCTGAGAGTGTGTGTGTGTGTCTCTCTGAGAGTGTGTGTGTGTGTGTCTCTGAGAGTGTGTGTGTGTGTGTCTCTGAGAGTGTGTGCGTGTCTCTCTCTTGAGAGTGTGTGTGTCTCTCTCTCTCTCTCAGAATGTGTGTGTCTGTCTCTCTCTCAGAGTGTCTGTGTCTCTCTCTCTCAGAGTGTCTGTGTGTGTGTGTCTCTCTCTCTGTGTCTGTAAGGTGTTGAGCTCCTGTTAGCCTCACTGGTGTTTCTCTCCCCCCCTCCCAATAGACCACCCAGTTTGTGTTAAAGACGAAATTACTTTTTTTTTAAAAATTGTTTTGCCACCATTTAATATGTGTTATTTCCTCCTGTCTAGTTTTTTTTTTAAATCAATAAAAGTGAAAGGGTTTCTGACTGAAAGGGCTGCTGCTGCTCCTGCTCTTTCCCTAAGTGATCACTGCAGTAGATATGAAAAAAAATTGTGTGCAGCTTTACATTCAGACATGACCTAGAAATTGGCCTTTTGCACACACAAAAAAAAGACATTGAGAGGTTTTTAGTGACTTGTGTGCAAAAAAAAGCCAAAGTTGCCAAAGTATGGAGCCTTAAAATGCCTGTGCCCTGCCTAATCGATCACAAAAAACAGGTACAACTAAGAAGGTACTAATAATAATAATAATCCTTGCATTTGATATAGCGCTTTTGCACTTTCATGCAGTGAAAAACACATTAAAACCAGGTGTGTATTGTGTGCAATTTTTATATTAAATAATAATCATAATCTTTGCATTTGATATAGCGCTTTTCACGTCGGGAGGACGTCCCAAAGCGCTTCACAGAATATACTGTAAAGTGAATTGACTGTATATTTGTGGGCGAACGATTGAAAATGACCAATTTATTATTGTTTTGTGTTTTGGAGGGATTATTATTAGGCTCTGTGTGGAGTAAGGAAACTTGCCCAAGGTTTCGCCCTCTGCCTGGAATTGAACTCAGGTCTCTCACTTGCAAAACGAGTGCTCTAACCACTGAGCTACAGGACTCCACAATTAAATCACGAGCTTGCAAATGTCCTCCCAAGGTTATGTTTCAAAGAGGATTCATCGGATGTTCTGAAATGCCAACCGTTCGTGTTAATCTATTACTAATATAAGATTTTTTTAAAAAACTGTTCAGTTGATATAACAGCGAAGCAGATCCTCACACAGCAGCGCAGTGTTCAACAATATCAGACCCTCGGGGCTACATCGTCTCCATCATGTGCTCCAAAGACAAACTGCAGGTGAATGTGGTTTAGGAATCTTTTTAAAACGACAGTACTGTGGTTCACCAGGTTAAAAAACAAACAAAAACGCATTCATTCATATGCATCTGTAGTTATGCCTGTGTGTTGACCGTTTTGCATGCAGGTTGCAAACTTACCAAGTTCAAAGCAGAGGAGCTGCAACAAGAGGAATAAATGTGTTTGCATTTGGAAAGCTTCCCTCCAGCAACAGCAAACGAGTGAATGATTGTGGAACACCAGTCAAACTTAGCACTGCCCT